TGAAGCTCTTTTCAGATTAAAAAATACCTTTCAGGAAACGTATTTTCAGATGCCAAGTAAACTGCATCATCCCCCACCCCCTGCATCGAAATGGGTGAGACAGAAGCAGAAGGTGGTTCTTAAAGAGACAGAGGCCAATTTCAAGGCATTTAGGAGAGGAAGTGATGAGAAGATAAGTTTTTTTCTATTTAAACATAAAAACAGCATTTTAATAACAGCTAAAGGTGACATAGATACTTTATTATGGTATAATATTTAAATGTATGCCTGAGAAACACATAATATTGCCCCTTTAAAAGATATTTTATTCTATTTCTCTGAAAAATTAAAAATAATTTGTATTAAAATCTTGACACTTCTGTTATTTTTTCAGCACTTCCTCTTGGTTCCTAACCACCAATTTTTAGTGTTTTTCTCTGCGTTTATGTTTCAGACCCACACTGTGTGTGTCTGCGTGTGTGTGTTCATGTTTTATGTGTGCGCCTGAGAGGTGCTGTCTGATCGATTGGTAGTAAATGTGTTCAGTCAAGGAATCCGTCGGCCTCTTATGAAATATAGATGCTGCTCCCACGGTCAGATTAACAGGAGTGCCAACAGAGAGGAGTGATCACACTCGCCAAGCACACGCACACGCTCCACACGCAAACTGTAAACTTTGTCCATGCCACATGTTTCTCAGGAGAATCTCCTGATGCGTATCCACTTCCACATCAGCGCGGAGAGCAGGGAGGACATCTGCACCGCCAAACACTGCATACCGCACCAGAAGTTCGCCATGACTCTATTCGAGCAGGTGGGACACCGTTCACACACTCTGACTCTTCGAAGAGTCTCACTTCTGAGGGCCTCGGTGAGAAACTGTTGTTCTGCAATAAATCTGGTGGATGTCTTTGCGTTTGCAGTGTGTGTGTAACAGCTGCGGAGCCACGTCGGACCCCCTGCCCTTCATTCAGATGGTTCATTACATCTCCACCACGTCCCTCTGGTAAGACCGAGCACCCACCTCCCCATGCATGCATGCTAACGCACACAAAATGCGGTAAATCCGGCGTCAAGCTGCGGTGAAATGGCAGTAAAGGGAGCACATTCCTCTGCATGGGTCTGTGAGGGTGAAAACGTAAAAAACATTCATCATTTGTACACATGTGAATGGTCATGCATATGCAGGAGCAGGTGAGCATTATGTCCTCCATAAGTAAAAAAAAAAGAAGATGTCAGGTAAATCCACACACACGGAAGTGTGTGTGAACTGTTCAAAGCTTCAAGTTAATGAAATAAGGAGCAGGGAAATAATCAATCAGGTGTTTGATTCGGAACACCTAGGGGACAACAAAAATCTATACGTGAAACAGTGAGTCTGAACAAACAAATAAGAGGATGCATCACTTCAAATCTCTTCTGCACATAAAACAAAATGCAGAAAATGGAAAAGAGCAAATAAATACACAACTCAGGATTGTCGTGGAGCGCTGAGGGTCTCTTTAACGTTACTAACCTCAATGAGGGAAGCCGTTTACACACTAGGCAGCACAAAATGTAAAAACCAACATTTGACACTGACATTAGTGAGCACGTTCCAAACAGAGAAGCTCATTTAAGGCTAATAGAGGGAATAAGGAGAAAGAGGGGTTATAATATTATTATTCTTTTAAAAAATTACTATAATAGAAAATAATTCCCAGAACACATAATATCAAACATAGATCAGCGCCTGAGGCAGAGCTGGTCATTTAGTATTCACAGAGGAGAAAAATGTATATTAGACTTTGTCCTTCAGAGCACAGTGGTATTAAAAACATTGTAAAATGCAAACTACTATTAAATGTTATCGCTCTAAGCATTGCTGAAGGAAGTACAGTTTTGTCTCCAGAGTAAAGCTGTTTATGATCTTTTAGATGAAATTATTCTTTACTTAAGGTTGAAATAAACTTAGCACAGCAAGWGTGGAAAATTGTTTGAGTGATCATTTCTTTGTTGTAAGAATGTTTTTTGGCAATAAATCTGTTACCGTTGATAAACCTGTTTATTTGTCTTAAATGGCTCCAGATTTGTTGGAAAAAATGCATTTGTGGGTGGAGTACATGAAAAACCTGCCAAAAGTTCTCCTCTCAAACCAAGCAGCTCATTCGTTGACTCTTCTTTGGCTTATTGGATGATTAAAGTCTTAAGAAACAAGACAACCTAATAATTTATTCATTTAATGAACACAGGTCCCAGTAGAATGTGGAAGAACCATACACAGCCACAACGTCTCATTGTTTGCAAGTCAAACAGTGTGGTTGTGTTGGCCACTGTGGAGCAGACAGCGCACCCTAACTGATCCCACAAGTGTTCAGTGGGGATGAGAGACTGCAGGCAGGCCATTCCATCCTCTCTACTCCCAAATTAGGTAGTCTCTGACTGGTTACAGAAAGTAATTAGGTACCTGGTTGTCAGCACCTGTGGTACCAGAGTCTCAAAACAAGAATCAAAAATGAGCTGTTTGGCAAAAGATTTGGCAAGATTATTGTGGGTGCAACAACATTATAAAAACTGCTGCAAAAGCCTTTTTCTAACAAACACGGTACCGTTTATTTATTTGTTTATTTACCTTTATTCAACCAGGCAAATCCCATTGAGATCACAGATCTCTTTTGCAAGGGAGGCCTGGGCCTGAAGGCAACCTATATACAAGTTTAGGGTCTGTGGGAGGAAACCGGAGTACCCAAAGAAAACCCACACAAGCACAAGGAGACCATTCAAACTCATCACAAAAAGCCCCCTGGTCCAAACCCGGGATCGAACCCACATTTTTCTTGCTGTGGGGCAACACTGCTAAACAACACAGAACCAAACGGGGGAAAAATGCTTTTCAAAATGTATTGCCACCAATCACTGCTAAAACAAAAAAATTATCAGACAAAAATTAAGTATTATGTTTTGTTTTGCACCATAAATTGAACCTGTTTTTTTTGTTTCTGCACTTGCTATTTGCAGCCTTCATCTTTGCATTGTTAACTGAAGTTTCTTACATACATGTGTCTCACAAGTCTTACTTCGACAAGTTCATCGCTGCTAGCAAAAGCATATAAAAGCAGTAAAAACAAAACGTCAAGCTTGGGTTTGAAAAAATCTTGTTTTTGCGTRTGATTTTCTCAAATGTGTGTTTTTTTGCATGCTGCAGTAACCAGGCAGTGAGGATGCTGGAGTGCAAAGAGAAACCCACACCGGATATGTTTGGAGAGCTGCTTCGCAACGCCAGCAACATGGGAGACCTGCGTAACTGTCCTGTGAGAACGAATACACTTATCTCCACATGAGAAATAAATTGCACGTGTTTTGTTTCTTGCTTTATTATGACATTACAATGAATGYGAAGCATCATATGGTGTGTGATGACAGATATTTGGTCAGAGAAGGAGGTGAATCCTCTCTGCTCCTTTTGTCTGCAAGATTATCTTGCGTCATGGTTTTTGCCTTGTTTCACACACCCATCCCTCTCTGCCAACATATCTGTGCGAAAAGGCTCCTTTCTGCCCCTCACATCAACTCAAACACACAATCCAAACTTTGACATTATCCTATGGGAGGCACACAACCTACCTTTGATTATCTTCCATYGCTTGCAGGGCTGATCGTCTGTTAGTCCAACCTTTGGCTTTACTCAAACAAGCCATAACATTTGAAGAGGGAAAAAAAGGAGGATGTTTGCTTGATATTAAATTACTGAATAGACAGTTTGAAAATTTTCCATGTACAGCTACAGTCAGCTGAAATAAATGCACATACAGGTGCTGATGTTGAAGAACGTTGGCTCCATAATGAAACGTGTGGAAGCCTTTTTCTTGTCTTTTGTTTCAGGCTGCCTGAGGTGCAGCTGACTTCAACAATATCATGCTGGGTGGTAAAAATCTGCATCAGAGCATCAGAGGGTGAGGAGGAAAAACCTGCGATAACAGTGCTAACATTCAAAAATGATTCAGTAGGAGAAACACGGCAAATATTTCAGTCTGAATTATGGGGAATGTTAAAATCAGAACAAATAAATGATGGGTAAAAATGTCACTAACACATTTTCATTATTTAGCTGACTTTCTGAGTAAAAAATCTTAGTTAAATTTTCCACTAACATTTGGTTATTTAGTACGGAGCCCACGAGGGGACATGGGAGATTTTTTTCTTTTGTRTTCCCACGTGATAGTATTGCATTACCTGCCAATACCTTTTGCGTTCCCTCGCAAAAGACRTTTACCGCTGTTGTTACCAAATTTCCCTCTGGGATCAATAAAGTATTTTTGAATTGAATTGTGCCTGCCGGTTTATTAACAAACTCACATGTTCACCATTAGCGAGTTAGCCTACTGCTTTAATTCAGCTTCAGAATGAATATATCACACAGCCACACATGGAAGTATGYCATATGCTGATATTTTAACACAGTGCAGCCACGCAACATCAATGTCAATTTCACAAAACTTGTGGCGACACATCTCGTTTCGGTAACTGGATATTTCAAATTAAAAGTCTGATTTAGTTCAGTTCATGTACAAACAAATGTTTGCGAGGTAACGCAAAAGGTTTTGCGAGCTCACGCAAAAGTATTGCGAGGCAACGCAAAAGTATTGTGAGGTAACGCAATAGTATTGCGTGGAAACGCAAAAGAAAAAAATCCCCCTATGTCCCCTCGCGGGCTCCGTAATTTAGTTCAAGGTTCTTATATTTTGCTATTTTTTTTACTAAATGTTAAATTTAAATGTTATATGTCAATAATAAAATCTTAAATATAATTGTGCAAATCTAAATGTAAAAGTTACATAACAGGAACATACAGTAGCTTTTACCATTTGTGCCTGGCTCTTGTTATGACATTACCATCCTGAGACAATAAGAAAATWATTGTATAGGTCTTCTGGACGGGTTCTTCTCTAATGAAACGTTTCGTCTCTCCTCCAAGAGACTTCTTCAGTCTGAGAGTTTCAGGCAAAATTCAGGCTTTTAAGCCCTGCCTCCWTGTGACTGATACTCACATCACATGGCTATCGTTGACACCTAATTAACACTTATTGTTAACAGGGGGTGGAGGGATAATGCAATAGCTGCGCTGTAGGAGGGGGACAACTGAAAACGGAGGCCTCCACCTCTGTWTAATGATGGACGGTCTTTATTATCATTAAACAGAGGTGGAGGCCTCCGTTTTCAGTTGTCCCCCTCCTACAGCGCAGCTATTGCATTATCCCTCCACCCCCTGTTAACAATAAGTGTTAATTAGGTGTCAACGATAGCCATGTGATGTGAGTATCAGTCACATGGAGGCAGGGCTTAAAAGCCTGAATTTTGCCTGAAACTCTCAGACTGAAGAAGTCTCTTGGAGAAGAGACGAAACGTTTCGTTAGAGAAGAACCCGTCCAGAAGACCTATACAATTTTTTTCTTTTTGATTTTTTACCTGGATTACTGAGATGCATCAGGACATCCTGAGACAATAGCAACTCTGCTAATGCTGCTAATGCAGCTAATGCTGCTAATGCTGCTAGCACTGCTAATGCTGCTAACGCTTCCGTATCACACTTGCAGTTGTGGCCATAGTCTGAACTGCACTTCAAACTGCTGGACTACAGGTCATCCATATTGCCCTCCTCAGCAGCTTTAGCAGCGTTAGCATCAGTAAGCGTCAATGTTTGATAAGCACAATAACCTGAAAGTGAGTTAAATATTGAAAATGTTTTAGTGACATTTTTAACATTTTATTTTATACTTGGCAATCCATAACAAACGGTCTTGCATTCTTTGAAGAAATACTGCTTTTGTTGCCACAATTTTAAACCTAAATCCTAAAAAAGGAATAGAATTTTAAGTAGACTGCCCACATAGCATATTTTGCTAACACAGCCGACAAACGACCAAAAACATTGTTTCATTTTAGTTTTGTGATTGATAGATCTGAAGGTCAAAAAAGGTGAGACAGGAACAAAAATAAGACTTAAAAAATCCCTGTAAGAAACAGAATAAGTCTTCTAAGTTTACGTGTTTTTTATGTCAGTTTTGCGTCAGCAGTTGTCTGGCTGTCACACTGATAAAAGTGTGCTTGTAGAGTTTCCAGAAAGCAAATCCTCAGCCCTTTTTTTTTCCTTTTGAGTTTTGTCATTTTTGCTTTAAAGAATGCCACAATCAGCATTGTATCATTTGACAAACACGTCGCTATTATGTAACTCACCGTTCTCTGGAAAGCTCTGCACAGTCACTGCCAAGATAAAAAGAAAAAAATAAATAACAAGAAACAAAACTTTTTTGTCTTTGAATGTAAGACACAGAGCAGGGACTGCACCGAAGCAGAGTGAATCCGTTTGCACAGTCGTTTGATGTATGACGATGTCACCGGCTGAGTGAGACGGCGCGGCGGGTTCACCGAGGACTCCGTGTGCCGACTGCGTGTCCTGAGCGAACAGATCCCCCCCGTCCCAGAGCTGCACAGTTTGGCCGCTGCTCCCTGGCCTGTGTTTGCGTCCCTTTCTGAGAACTGAGAAGCAGACGCTGGCAGAATACCTTCCTGCCATCTCTGGTGCCAGYGCGAGGCGGCACGCTGCCCACAAAGACAGCGTTCTGAGTGTGTGTTTGTGCAGATTGTGAGTGTATGCGTGTTTGTGTGGGTTGTGTAGTGTTTGGCAAAGCGTCTGGTTGCCGGGGTGTTCTCAGGCTGTTTCCGAGCTTGTTCTGCCAGCGCTGTGTGGATGCTCGCGTGTGTGCATGTGTGCAGGCTTTTATCTGAGTGCTGTGTGTGTGTGTGTGTGTGTGTGTGTGTGTGTGTGTGTGTGTGTGTGTGTGTGTGTG